AATGCTCCTAGTCTTATGAACCTATCACATTTATTGGGGAGCCAGCGAAAACTTGATTTCAATTATGTAGTCGATCTCCTATTAGAACTGCGGCCGGTCAGTGCACTGAGTAACGGGGACCCAAAGTTCGTGCAGATCCACTGCTTCCCCCTCCGTCCCCCCGATCCTTTCTGTGATTGGAACCATTGGCTATGGAATCCAGGCTCTGGAATCTGGGGTGAAACACAAACTGAGGTTTGGTCGTGGATACCACAGCCACCCTCATCAGGTATGGAACCTTACCGGGTATGAAGCTTCCTGGACACATTCTCGAAGGAACGCCCTCACTCGAAAGACCTTTGTCCGTCCCATTGCACCACGATCGGCGTCGAATCCGCGTCGAGCACGTGGAATCCGCGTCGTACCTACGCCGATTGCACGGCGAATCTGCGCCGACCGCGCATCGGATGTCAGAAAAGACAGCAATTCAAATAGCAGGCAAGGTCCTCCGAACATTCAAAGTAACGCTAGGTCACCTAAGTTTGCGCATCGCGCCCCGTGAAGCGCGACCCTCCCACGATCAGGAGGCAACTTCTGAACTATCTTCGCAATACTTTTGAAATGCTACCACTCTCGATCAGGGGGCCGCTCAGCAAAATTAGCCTGGACTGGGCCCTGGACTAAACCCGATGAGGCCATACAGGACCTGACGAAACGGGAGTATGCCAGACTAGGCCGGCTCTCGACCACGGACGGAGCCCCAGTCCTGAACTCAATCTCCCAAGAGCCGCGCCACGTTGGAGAAGGGCAGCCGCTCTGGCCCAGACTTACGTCGGGCCTGTCCCCCTACAGGGGGATTTTCGACGAAAAATTAGAAAATACCCCCAAACATAATCCAGAAGTGGTCCAAACATCGTCCAGGGACTACTTTTGGAGTATTGCTTGACCTTTTTGGGGCATTCTTGGGGTATGTTTTATTTTTCGTGCCCCCCTGTTCGCTGAGCGCAATGCGACAGTGGCCCCTTCGTGGCTTTCGTTTTTCGGTCGGTCCCCTCGGTCGGCTCCGTTCTGGGTCCTTGGTCCCGTCCCTCGTCCCTTTCGGTCCCCTTCGGGCCCCCTCGTCGCTCGTCGGCGACTGTTCCAGGGAGCTGCGGCTAGTCGTCAGTCCGCCTGTGGGGGGACCGGCCCGACTTGACCCAAGAGCCGCGCCACCTCGGAGAAGGGCCGCCGCTCTGGCCAAGACCGCGACGCGCCAGGCGCGGTTCCGTTATGTTCACCCGCGGGGGGTGGCCGAGGCCCGCCTCCTCGCCTGGGCTCCCCCATCTCCCTCTGCCCTCCTATTCCTCCTCCTCCTCCTCCTCCTCCTCCTCCTCCTCCTGCTCCTCCTCCTCCTCCTCCTCCTCCCTCCTGCTCCCCTCCTCCTCCTCCTCCTCCTCCTCCTCCTCCTCCTCCTCCTCCTCCTCCACCCTCCTCCTCCTCCTCCTCCTCTCCTCCTCCTAACCAGCCTCGAACTTATCCCTATCCCTAAGATTGACACGCCCGAAGGCGATGACAATCTTGGGGATGCACCCTCAGAAACTGAGGGAATCCCTAAGGTCGCCATCGGGATGAGGCGATGCCCAACATAGGGATAGGGATAGGTTCCAGGCTGGTAATTCTTTTCCGTGCCTCCCCCTGCCACTCCCGAGTCCAGTCAGCGGGACTGCATGGTTGGCCTCTTCGCCGCACTGTCTGCTTCTCTGCCTCCCTCCTGCCAACAGCTCGAACGGGCCTCGTCTTTGAGGGGGCTCGTAGGGGCGCCCGACGCTGTCATACCGTCCTTGTACAGTCAGAGACATACCTCCTCGGTCTGCTCCATCTCCATGTCATCCTTCTTCTTATCGACTCGCTGGCAGCACGGCTTGTTGTCACAACGGCGAGCGGCACGTATGACTTGCTGCATCCGCGTGCTGGCTGAGGTGGCACAGGTTGTGAGATGTGAGCCTGGCCTTACTTGCAATTTCGTCATGACTACCATTATACTATTCGTGCGAAACGCTGCACTGTGCATACTTGCATACTTGTTGTGGTGCCTGAGCTTGTTGCGAATTCCACGATCATTCTGGTCGTGCTTGTCTGCCGGTGCCTGTTCTGACACATCTCGTTGTGCCAGTGAGCTGTGGAGGAGGTGGGTTCCGTGGTCGCTGGGGCTGCTGGGAGGCGGGCTTGGAAGATCGTGCAGCCTGGCGCGAGCACAACACAAGAAGCGCATGTGCAGGCGCAGTAGCCTCGCCTGGCGAATGTCAGAAGGATGCCTGCAACGCCCCGTCCCCAGCCCCGGGGACCTTCTCCCACAAAGAGCACAGTTCGTAGAAAGAGCGCAGTCAGAGGGATGCCTGCAAAGCCTCGTCCCTAGCCCGGGGACCTTCTCCACCCACAGAGAGCACACTTCGTAGGAAGGCTGGCCCGTGCCGACCTGGGAGCACGCCGTCTGCATGCCCCTGCCTGGTCAGATGCTGCTGCTTCAGGGGCTGCCCTCGACAGCCTTGGCCGGCCTTGCCTGCTCTGCGCATTCAGATTGGCCTTACCGATCCTTCAATAGAGGGGGCCCAGGGACACACAAATGAATAGAAACGAATCCCAGGATTCTTCATAGTTTCCCAGATGTGATGTGTTTTCGTCTTCTCCCTTACTCCTTATATGTTCCAAATCTTTTCCTGGGAGTCGACGATTGATTGTGTCTGTGTGTTTCTTTCCCACCTGAAGTGTCTGGAATATCTGAGCATAGACAATCGAGGTCCCGGACACGCGCGTGTGGACCAATTCATGGGTGGGCGTAGGACTTGGCATGCGATCCTTTGAAACCTCGAGCCTGCGCCACTGTCGATGCACACCTCTGCATGCTGCTGTCCTGGGAGTGGATGCTGGATGCCGAAAGGCAGGCCGCCGGGCTGGGAGGGAAGCGGGCTCGCGCGGGCAAGGAATCACTCGTGGACGGACGACACGCTCTGTGGGTTGCCTTACACATCGGTCGGAAGAAGTAGCTAACAAAAAAACTGGAGTAGAAAGGCGGACAAAGTAGGTTGAGCTCAGACCCTCCCAGATAATAGCCAAACACAGCTAAAACATATCGATTATTGACGTAGGAAGGCGCTTCAAGTAGGTTGGGAGCTGGGATCGTTGTGTACCGAAGCGAGCACGCAATCGACGTCCGGCGATCACGCTGCGACAAGGGCCCTGGTCTGCAGCGAGCTTTTCTGAAACTGGTGCTCCACCCGCTGCTCGGCTCACAGCAAGCACATACGGTAAGAGATCCTGCTACGCGAGCTCTCGGGGGAAATTCTGCGTCGATCCTTGAGGGTCCTGCGGCACCCTGGAGCCTCCGTGGTCTGGTGGGACCATCGGGGCGTAAGACATTTCCGCGGGGGACCTGCTGACAGGCCGACTTCTTACCCGATGCGCCTACTGTTGAAGGCGGCCAAGTGGTCTGAACTGGTTGGGGCCCGGGAAGATCGTCAGGAGGGGGGGGATGAACCAAATCCGCTCAGAATCAATCCCCGGACCCCTCCTGGGGTCCACTTGGCACACTTTCTCACCCCGGACCGGCGTTTCGCGCTCCTGGGGCCCGCACCCGAAGACGGCCCCCGGATGCCGAACAGGGCACAGCACCTCCCCGAACCTGGAACCTCGGCCCCGCCGGCGCTCCCTGCTGGCCAGAACCGGTGCTGGGCCACCTCGGGCAGCGGTGGCGGAGAGGACGAGCACTCTTCCCTCCTGCTCCCCCCCTCCTCGCCCCCCTCCTCGCTCCCCTCCTCATCGTTCTCCTCCTCCCCCTCCGCCTCCTCCTCCTCCTCCTCGTCTTCCTCCTCCCCCTCCTCCTCCTCCTTCTCCTCCTCCTCCTTCTCCTCCTCCTGCTCCAAGCCCACCGCACCCTTTCAGCGCGCGCGCGGCCGACGGATCTCGGCCGCCGCAGCCGACAGACCGGCGCCCACGCTGCGCCCGCCCTGCGCCCTGGGCAGCCTCTCGTGCGAGGGCCTGGGTGGCCTGCACGGGCGGCCGCTCGCTGCGCCGTTGCCCCTTCGGCGCCTGGCACGGCCAGCGCCAGTCCGCGCGTCAGGGCGGGGGGCCAGGAGATCGTTCCCGCTTTTCGGCGGTGGCCCAGGTTATCCAGTTGGGGAGGGGGGGTGGGAAGGGGGGGAGGCGATGGCCGACAAGCCAAACTCTTCGCTCTGGGCAGACCCGCTTGTATGCCCTTGGGCGCCAGTGCTGCGCACCCCCACGGGGACCTGCGCAACCGACAAGGTCGGGTGATCCTGAGGTCAGGCATGTCCTCCTACAGGCGGATTTTGATAGGAAGAAATCAACCATATTCAAAATAGTAATATGAACAAGTCCACCGCTGATTACGTTTTTGCTGTTTCTGGATACTCCTCCTGTAGAGGGACATGCCCAACTCAAGGTTATCCGGGAGGAGGTGGGGGGCGGGAGGGCTCGACGAGACCTTACAAGCGTCCCTGGGAGGACACCACGCAACTCGGGCGCTCGTTAACGAAGGGTCGACGCGATTGATGGAGACACGAGCACGCACCGTCACAGCACCTTTTGGGCCCGCGGAAGCAGTTTCGAGGCCGCTGACGGCTCACTTGCGGCCGCCTTCCTGCAGTCATCGGTCCCTCTCAGGTGGCCTCCCGCTACCGAGCGCCCAACAAAAGTGTGCTTCCATCATCCTGGGGCGACCCCGACGACTAGGATGCTAAATCGCGTCTACACTGGGGGAACCAAAAGGTACCGACACCGCTACTCTCCAGACCTCTCCTCTCCCAAGGCGCTTTCTGGCCAGAATTTCGAAGCGAATCCAGCGGCGGCGACGAGGGCAACCCCAGGAGGCACAAACAGGCAAAAACGAGGCAAAGGACGATGTATCACCACACGTGCAACGATTTTTCAATGTGGTTCTGGAAGTCCCGACCCCTTCCTCATGGCCGGCTTTCCATCCCAAGTTGTTTGGTGACGGTCTCGGGGCCCAGCGAGGGCCCCAGAAGGCCGAAAGCTGGCAAACAGCTCGTGTCATGATATATTTCATCATGACGCGAACATGTCTGGGTCGAAACCTTTTCCTCCCCTGACACATTTATCAGTAGCCCTTGTCCAAGTCTACGACGTACTTCAGCGGTGCCCCCTGGAGCCACAGCGCGAGGTTCTCCACGAAGAGGTCGGCCGTGTCTTCGGGGTACGTCACCGCCGCGACGCACGGGGGCTCCGAAACGGGGGGGAGCAGCTACGAGGCACGTGTAAACCGACGTCCTGTGAGCCCAGCCAGCGGTCGATGTGCATACCCATCGGTCGGAAGAAGCTGAAGTAAGAAGGCGTTGAAAGTAGATTGGGCGTCAACCCACCCCCTGAAGAGGACGGAAAAGGTGAAGCCGCTCGATCATTGAAGCAGGAGGGCGCTGTAGAGCAGATTGGAACCTTAGACTCCAACGATCCGTACATTCAACGACCGACGGGTATACATTTGGCACCCAGGGGGGCCCGAGCACATTGAGATCCGCCGCCCACCGAGGTCCCGAGGATTGATCTCCCCCAGGCGGGAGGCCATTGGTCAACCTCCGCCTCGGACCGCCCGTGCAGAGGGCAGACCAGCTCGAAGGGGGGACATGAGCAGGCCTGCTCCTCCTGGTCCTCCTCCTCTCTCCTCCTGCTCTTCCTCTCGTTCGTTGTAGACGTCCTCTCTCTGACAACTCGAGAGGAGGAGGAGGAGGAGGAGGAGGAGGAGGAGGAGGAGGAGGAGGAGGAGGAGGAGGAGGAGGAGGAGGAGGGGGAGGAGTAGGCGGAGCAGGGAGGAGGGACAAGACAGTGTAGGCGAGGCGCAAAGGGCAAGAGGGAGGAGGGAACATGGAGAAAGCGGGGTGGAAGAGGGAGGAGCGAACGAGAGATGGAGGAAAGGGAGGAGCAGAGGGGAGGACGGATGAGCGAGCACGGTGGAGGGAGGAGGATGGAGGAAGAGCAGATGAAGGAGGACGACGAAGACGGAGGGAGGAATGACAGAGGAGGTTCAAGGCGTCTGCTTGCTCTCCAGCCAAGCTCAGGTGCGGAGGGATGGGGGGGGGTCATCTGCTTACCATGCCCCGAGGTTCGGGCGCTTCGGCAGCGAGAGGCCGGGCGCATTGAGGTCAGCCCCCGGTGGGCCCAGCCGTGGCTCTCGCCCCCATGGGGCCACGGCCCGCTGGCCATCCTGCGGGCCAGGGAGCCTGGGGACTCCAACCAAACGTGCTCCCCGGAACCAGAAGGCAACGACTATCGGCGGCGCGCCCGGGGGGGGGAGTGCGAAGAGGTGGGCCTTCTCAGAAGGCTCGGATGTCCCCCGGCCTTCTGAGAAACGTCCTAAGCCTTCCCCGGAGACACGGACCACGCCTCAGAAGGCGCGGGGGCTTCTGAGCAGCCCCGCCGCCTGCTGAGAATGCCTTCTACTTGTCACTTCCCCCCTGCGCTCGCCGCCACAACTATCTTCGTCAATTGCAGACCCTCGCGCAAATCAGCTGCACTCCTTGACCGCTGTTCGGGCCCAATGAAAGGTCGGGCTTGTTGCTCCTGGACCTCTGGCCCTGCTTGCTCTGGGACCGATCTTCCCTCAAACGAAGGCCGCCTGGCGGACGTCCCATACGCACGGGGATGCAGATCGGTCTCAGCAGCTTGTTCGGCGGCACGGTGCCCCAGGTGCCAAGTTGCACCGAGAGCTCCAACATCCATGTGCGAAGCCATCGGCCGGCCGAGACCTGGCACCCCACGGGAGCTCAACAGGACCGCGGTGCTTGAGACCCTGCTCTTCGAGACGCACAGCTGCGTGCTGATTGACTCGTACATCCACTCATCCACTGTCGAGGCTTTTCTGCAGCACTCACCCTTGGGAGGGACAGAGTCCTTCATCTTGATGTAGCTCTCATCAACACCTTTGCAATCGACGTGCTCCCGTGCCGTCGCCTCATGCTCCACATTGACCCTTGGAGTCAGAACTCCGCTCTTCGACATGCGCACCACCGTGCCGACCGCCGTCTTCGTTCGCGCCTGAAGCGGGGGGCTCGACCCCATCGCCCGATGAGCCTCCTCAGCAGCCTTGCGCTCGACTGCTCGGGCGGCGTCGACGATCTCGTCGGGCGTGCGCGTGGACCCGAACGCTCGGAGCCCCGTGTGCGCGGAGAGGCCGCCCCGCGCCGCGACGCCGCCGCGACGCCGCCGCGACGCCGCTGCCAGATGCTGCCCCGCAGCCTGGGGCCGCCCCGCGTGTTCCACCGCGGCGCCGCCGCGCGAGAGCGCTCCCCATCCGTGCCTTGCCCCCCTCCGCGGCCGCCCCCTTCTGGCACACCCTCCTCCTCCTCCTCCTCCTCCTCCTCCCCCTCCTCCTTCTCCTTCGCCTCCTCCTCCTCCTTCTCGTCGTCCTCCTCCTCCTCCTCCTCCTCCTCCCCCTCCTCCTTCTCCTTCGCCTCCTCCTCTCCTCCTCCTCATCCTCCTCCTCCGTCTCGTCGTCCTCCTCCTCCTCCTCCTCCTCCTCCTCCTCCTCCTCCTCCTCCTCCTCCTCCTTCTGTTTTTGGACGCCCGACATGGGTACGAACAAAAGGGGTACGATGCCCAGCAACAAAAATGTTGTCCCAAACCGACGGCGGCCGCTGTTTGCCAGGCGGCCTCCTGCCTCAAACGTCCACAGCCCGCGGCGACACCGACAGCGAGTCCTGTTCAAAAACTGAGCAGGAACTGCTGTTGGGCACTGTGCCCATTCTTTCCGTACCCACGGCTCGCACTGCCGTAGCCCCGGTGGCTCAGCACGCGAGCGGGTCGCCCCTGCCGCGCCGCGACGGGAAAAAAGAGTGCGGGCAGGCCGCAGCGGTCCGAACATCCACGGGCCAGGGCGGTGCCCCAAAAAACACAAGCATTGCAAGCACTTGTTCCCCACATCCTGAGTGGGGTTCTTGTTTTCCCAGAACACCCTCTCCTTCCCACCCACCTCCCGCTCCATCTTCCATACAGCACAATATTATTCCTACCACACACACCATACCATACCATAGTTCCTACCACACATACCATACCATACCATACCATACCGTACCATACCATACCTACGAGGAGGGTATCGGAAAACCATACTATTTACATGGTTTCGTGCCCCTCCCACCCTTCCAGGGAGGCCCCGCCTGAGCGAGGAGGGTATCGGAATACCATACTATTTACATGGTTTCGTGCCCCTCCCACCCCTGCCAGGGAGGCCCCGCCTGAGCGAGGAGGGTATCGGAATACCATACTATTTACATGGTTTCGTGCCCCTCCCACCCCTCCAGGGAGGCCCCGCCTGAGCGAGGAGGGTATCGGAATACCATACTATTTACATGGTTTCGTGCCCCTCCCACCCCTCCAGGGAGGCCCCGCCTGAGCGAGGAGGGTATCGGAATACCATACTATTTACATGGTTTCGTGCCCCTCCCACCCCTCCAGGGAGGCCCCGCCTGAGCGAGGAGGGTATCGGAATACCATACTATTTACATGGTTTCGTGCCCCTCCCACCCCTCCAGGGAGGCCCCGCCTGAGCGAGGAGGGTATCGGAATACCATACTATTTACATGGTTTCGTGCCCCTCCCACCCCTCCAGGGAGGCCCCGCCTGAGCGAGGAGGGTATCGGAATACCATACTATTTACATGGTTTCGTGCCCCTCCCACCCCTCCAGGGAGGCCCCGCCTGAGCGAGGAGGGTATCGGAATACCATACTATTTACATGGTTTCGTGCCCCTCCCACCCCTCCAGGGAGGCCCCGCCTGAGCGAGGAGGGTATCGGAATACCATACTCTTTACATGGTTTCGTGCCCCTCCCACACCTCCAGGGAGGCCTTCCCCACATCCTGAGTGGGTTTCTTGTTTTCCCAGAACACCCCCTCCTTCCCACCCACCTCCCGCTCCAGGGAGGAGGGTATCCCATACTATTTACATGGTTTCGTGCCCCTCCCACCCTTCCAGGGAGGCCCCGCCTGAGCGAGGAGGGTATCGGAATACCATACTATTTACATGGTTTCGTGCCCCTCCCACCCCTGCAGGGAGGCCCCGCCTGAGCGAGGAGGGTATCGGAAAACCATACTATTTACATGGTTTCGTGCCCCTCCCACCCCTCCAGGGAGGCCCCGCCTGAGCGAGGAGGGTATCGGAAAACCATACTCTTTACATGGCTTCGTGCCCCTCCTCCACTCCTCCAGAGAGGCCGCGCTTGAACGAGGAGGGTCGCGGAAAGCATTACTCTTCGCCAGGTTTCGTAGCCCTCCCCCCTTCCAGCGGGTCCCCGCCAAAGCGAGGAGGGCATCAAGAAAATGGGTCCCACGAAACCGTTAATCTCTTTATGTGGGGAACTCCGTTAGCATAATTTTTAAACTCGTCCCCTGAGCATCTCCGGATTATTTTCGAATATTCCTCCTGTGGAGGGACGTGCCCGACCTGGCCGTAGCGGTCCAGACGTCCACAGGCCAGGGCGGTGCACAGACCATGGCGGTGCAGGCAGCCAAGTGCGCGCGGTGGTCATGGCACCCACGGGCGAGGGCGGCACGCAAGCCAGAGCGACAAAACCAACCGGCCAGCCAATCACAAGACAGCTCGCCGCTTGGACCCCACCGCCAGGCCAAACGGCGAGCACAAATCGGGCGTAGCCCCGCACGCACTCGAGTGCCCACACTTCGTCCTCGTACTACTCGTATTCTTCCCCGTCCCCCTCCTCATCCTGATCGTCGTCGTCGTCCTCCTCCTCTTCGTCGTCCTCCTGATCCTCCTGGTATCCCTCGTCTTCCTCTTTTCTCCTCTTCCTCGGACCTCGTCGTCTTGGTCTTCCTCCTAGGACCTCGTCCTCGTTTCTCCTCATCCTCCTCCTGCTCATCCTCCTTCTCCTGGCAGGGTCTGTCGACGTGACGTGTACGCGAACAAAAAACGCGGAGCGCGTGAATCCTGTCCTGGGTCCAGTTCGCACAGATGGTTGAGAGATTGGCCGTGGCAGCTGCCACCAATGACGCCAAGCGCTGAAATCTGCAATGGTGCAATTGCATACTGGTGAAATATACAGTCTGTCGTGGATGCTTTGCCTGCGCGGTGCGTTGCATGACCCCCTATAGTTTTCTCTGAGGTCGGCGGCAGAAGCCATAGGTTGCCCCCCAAATTGCGCCAGAGGTTGCGCCCCTCGGCGGCTGAGAATGAAACCGTCTCCTATCGGTTGCGCCATAAGTTGCGCCGTCGGCGGCTGATAATAAAACCATCTCCTATCGGTTGCGCCATAGGTTGCGCCCTCGGCAGCCGAGAATATAACCGTCACCTATCGGTTGCGCCATGGATTGCGCCCTCGGCGGCCGAGAATAAAACCGTCGCGTAACGGGTGCGCTCAGTCTGTTCTGTTTTGTTCAGTTCAGTTCTATTCAGTCGATTTACCTCGCGAGAAACAAATTTGGGCGACGCCCGGAAAAATGGCACAGAGGTCCCAGCGGCAACGGCCGACCTGGCAAGACACGCCATGACGGCCTGCGCAGCCAAAACCACAACCACAGGGGTTCAGGGAACAGCGGCCGACCCGGCAGCACCAGCCACAGCGGTGCACGCCGCCAGAGCCTTCCACGGTCCACGCGGCAAAGGCCAGCTGCGCAACACCGGGCCGGAGCTTCTCTGAGGGCAAACCACCAAGCCCCCAGTGCAAGCCATGCATGCTTGTTGGGAATGGGCCAGGAGGGAGGGAGAGAGAAAGAAGGTGATGGCAAGCTAGGTGCGCTCGCGCCTCATCTGCCCTCCGATCCCTCCCTCCCATCCCTTCCTATTGCGCTGCTTCTTTCTCTAGCCACGGATGCGTGTCATAGCCGACCGTCAACTCCAACAAAAAGACCCCATCGTGTTATGCACAATCGGAAAAAGGGGAGCTGCGTGCACAGGAGGAGGACATGGCAGGTGAGCAGGAGGATGAGCGAAAGGAGAAAGACAAGAACGAACAGCAGCAGCAGGAGCTGGAGTGGAAGGAGCTGGAGGAACAGGAGGACCAGAGGAAGGCGGAGGAGGGGAAATTAGGGGGGCGACAAAAATGAAAAACGATTTGGATTCAGAAAAGTGGTCCACGCTGGGGCGAGAGCGCGATTCTGAACGACGGAAGCGAAGCACCGATCCGAACATAGGGCTCACGCTGCAGCGGGAGCACCAGCTTGAAGCACCACAAACAATCGGATTGTAAAACGACACAAAGAAGCACGCAATCTTTGAAATCCGGTGAACAAAACAACACGTGGGGGGCCGTATATCTTCCGCACAGAGTCAGGCGAGAGAGGAGAGTCGCATTCACTCTCATCATGTGTAATTGTAAAGGAGGGGGGCGGGGGGGGACGCTGCTAGGAGAGAGAAGGGGGATGAGTAGAAAACGATAGGGTGGAGAAAAAGGTGGGGGGAGTGAGGAAGGAGGCAGGAGGAAGGGGAAAACGGAGAAAGATGATGATGACGAAGTGTGGAAGAGGACGAGCAGGAAAGAGGACAAGGAGTCAAAATGAAGGAAGTGGCAAAAAAGCTTTGCTCAGATTGCGTCGTCCTCCGGCTTCGAGCTTGTTAGGTTGCACGCAGACAGACCCCCCAGGTCGTCAAAGCTTGCTTCAACAGGCCCCCGAGCAATCCGGGACAGTCTCAACGGAACGCCCCAGGGGCGCCGCCGGAGGCGGCGACAGGGTGGAGGACGCCCTGGACTACTCGAGTAACCAGAAAATGCCAGCCGGGACTACCGGGGAAGCTGTCTGTGCGCGTCCCGACGCCGTACCAGAAGGCTCTGCTCAGATTGCTCCGTCCTCCAGGTCGGACCCTCGAAACCATTTTTCTTCATCACGTCTACCCATCCTCCAGGACCAGCTTCTCATCCTGAGTCGTTTGTCGACGGTCCCGAGGCCCGGCGAGGGCCCCCAAAGATCAGAAAATAGCGAACTTGTGGAGTCCCAAACCCAGATAGCGAGCGCCAGAAGGGCGCGAAAAGGCATCTCGAAGGAGCTCTGGAAGGTCCTGGACAGCGCTTCCGAAGGAGCTTCTGGAAACCTTCCGGGCAGGGAAACGCTTAGACAAGGGAAGCCGGAACGAGCTCCGGGGCTCCCCTGCGGCACTGGCTTCCTAACATGGAACCCTTTGAGCCAGACCCCCGACGTCGTGATTTTTTCACAGCGTCGACCCCCAGGGGTCGGGACCCCTTCCCTGGGACCAGCTTTTCATCCTGAATCGTTCTGTTGACGGTCCAGCGGCCTGGTGAAGGCCCTGGAGGCCGAACATGGGCAGACACCCCCCGCCGTGGTTGCCTCACGACTCGGGGGGGGGGGTCTGGGCAGCTCCCGGAGCTGTGCGGGAAAAGCCGTGCGTCATGACTCTTGCGGAGGCGGAGGAGGAGGAGGAGGAGGAGGAGGAGGAGGAGGAGCAGAAGGAGGAGGAGGAGGAGAGGAGAAGAGGAGGAGGAGGAGGAGGAATAATAACAATAAGGCCCCGAGCGGGTCTGGCGGGGTCCCCCATTGGCTCCGAGCCCGAGCCCCCGCCGCAGAGCCCCCGGCGATGTGCGGCGAGATCTGCACGCGCGGGTGGGCCCAGAGCGCGGAGGACTCCGGCAGGGGCTCCACCTCGGAGGCGCCCCGCCGCCCCGAGCTGGGGATCTATGACGAGATGCACCGCCCCTAAGAGCCCCTTCGCGTCGAGAGAAAAAAGACGGGCCCTCCTCCCTGCTCCTCCTCCCTCCCCCATCCCTGCTCCTCCCTGCTAATCCTCCTCCTCCTCCTCCTCCTCCTCCTCCTCCTCCTCCAACAACTCCTCCTCCTCCTCCTCCTCCTCCTCCTCCTCCTCCTCCTCCTCCTCCTCCTCCTCCTCCTCCTCCTCCTCCTCCTCCTCCTCCTCCCGGGCGGGCGAGCCTGCTCTACCTTCGGACACCGGTGGCCCTGAAGACGGCCACGGAGGCATCAAAACCCGACTCGGGATGACGAGCCGGCCCGGGGGAAGGGGTCGAGACCTCTGGGGGTCCACGTCATGAGAAAAAATCATTTACCTGCGGACTCTGGGTCTTAGCCGCTGACTGTCGCCATCAGCCCCATCACCATCAGCAGCAACACCACCCTCGTCGCCAATTGCCGTTGTCACCACTGCTACGTCATCGCAGTCATCGGCATCATTATCGCGACCACTACCATGATCATCGTTATTACCATCACCATCACCATCATCATCTTCGTCGTCATCATCATCACCACCACCACCACCACCACCATCATCATCATCATCATCATCATCATCATCATCATCATCATCATCACACCACCACCACCACCCATCATCATCATCATCATCATCATCATCATCATCATCATCATCATCATCATCATCAAGCATCATCATCATTAGCATCATCGTCATCCTCATCATCATCATCATCAACATCATCATCACCATCGCCATCATCATCGCCATCACCATCATCACCACCATCATCACCGTCATCATCATCATCATCATCATCATCATCATCGTCATCATCACCATCATCATCATCATCATCATCATAATCATAATCATCATCATCACCATCATCACCATCATCAGCAGCAGCATCGCCAGTGTCGTCACCATGATCCCCGACATCATCACCTCACCCCCAATGTAATCACCAACACCATCGCCATCACCATTGTAATTACCATTGCCATCACCATCATCGTCACAATGCCATCGTTCTTCTTCTTCATCATCACAACCGTCATCATCATCGCCATCATCATCATCATCATCATCATCATCATCATCATCATCATCATCATCATCATCATCATCATCATCAGTGTCATCATCATCATCATCATCATCATCATCATCATCAGCATCATCATCATCAGCAGCAACATCATCACCATCGTCATCATCATCACCACTCTTCATCATGGCTCACCTGGTCGCGTAGCCCGCATGCCCGCGCACCCGGGCCACGTGCTTGGCGCCGGTCTTCGTGCGCTCTCAACTCTCGAGCGGACATGGCGACGAGTGCGTCCCTCAGCTCTGGTGGACACCCTCGCCGCGCTCACTGCGAGGAGCCTGCTGCTGCAGCTCGCGCAGCGCAGCCGCGTGGCGCCTGCGGGCACGGGCGCGTTGCCAGCGGATCTCGCGCAGCCAGGCCCACGCGACCCGCGACGGGGCTGCTCCCTGCCGCCAACGCCGCCCACGGGAGGCGCACCACCTGAGACCAGGGCCACCTCCATGGTGGGCATGCAGTCTACGAGCTTCGGATTGAAGCGTTCCGGCCTGCCAGGTGGCCGAACCACTCCGCTGGGAACCACCTGGGACCCGGATCACGGGCCACCTCCCCTCGGAGCAGGCGGCCCCGGATCTGGCTCTTGCCCACGCGTGGGCCTCGGGCTCCTCTCCGCGCCCCCGCTTCCCCCTCCCCTCCCTCGCCTCCGCTTGCCCCTCCCCTCTTTCCCCTTCCCTCGCCCCCGCTTCCCCCTTCCCTCTCCTTGCCCCCGCTTCCCCCTCCCCCTCCCCTCCCCCGCCCCTCCTGCCCGGACGACGCCTTCGCCGGGCCGTCGCAGGCGTGCGCCCGGCGTCGGGCGGTCCGCAGCGCTCGGGCGACCGCCGGTCTGAGTGGGCCGGTCCTTCCTGAAGGTGCGGCGCAGAGCAGAGGGCAGAGGGCACCGCGCCTGGCGGGGCGGGCCTGGTGAGCCCAGTGTCTGTGGCGCGATCACGTTGAGACGCAGTGCTCGTCAAAAGCGACTGAGGCAACAAGCCCGTCCTCCCAGGGAACCTGTCCAGAAATCTGGGAAGCCACGTTCCACGTTGGCGCAAAAAGCACTGCGTCGGATGCCTGTGCAGCCACGTTCCACGGTTGAGCCATTTCGATGTCCGTCACGAGGAAAGAGGGTTGTCTTGGCATCATCGTGCGCGCGGGATGTCGCGGGTTGTGCAGGAATGCTTGGCCAACGATATCGTAGGGGTGCCGGGGGTGAGCGTCGAGGAGATAAGCAAGTGGCGACGCAATGGTTCAAGGGTTCAGTGAGTAGATGCGAAAGGTCATTTAACAACGCTGAGATCGCAGAGGACAAAATCGTCCCGGGCCCACGCGCAGCCCTGCACCACGGGCGGCCGATGCTGCCACTGCGAAGTCAAGCAATGAGCACCGCGCGACGGAAACGGCTTTCGCGGCGGCTACATGTGGCCGACCTCGCGGAGGCTGCGACGCCGCCTGGTTACAAACCCGAGCGACAGACGTTCCGTGACCCAGCAGCTCCTTGGCGCGTCGGCTGCTCGTCAGCAAAGCCTCGCGCAGCGAGCTGCTAATGCAGCAGGGACATGCAACAAGAAACCTTGCGATAACAGATCCAGGGGCACATCGTTCGTCCACTTCGAGATTCACTGAGTGCCCAACGGCCCTGCGGCCCCATCCGGAGATATGAAATTACCGTGGCACAGCCGTTGGCAGGCTATTTTCTTATTGGGCGTGCCTACTGCAACATTTGTGGGCAGGCTGGACAGCGCACTCGTGCCCTGCCAGAGAGCCAAACGCGACATGGCGGTGGTGGGGCCGGGGGGCGCGCAGCTGCCAGCCCGCGCTCGACAGAGCGATGGGCGCGGGGACCAAATCCGCGGCCGTGTCGAAGCAATCTCATGCAGCCGCTGCGTCACTCGACATGCTGTAGTGCGCGATGCCCGCGACTGCGCCGAGCGAGCAACGCGCGGAGGGCACGAAGCCAAGCTGGCTTTATGGCCATCGTGCGGCCGTCCGCGACAGCGCAAGGGCCCCCCCGTGGGCGCGCACGTGCGCTTTACGTGAAGGTCGCGAGAGAGCGGTGGGCACTACTCCCGTATCTGCAAGGAGGCGATTGCGCCAGCAGCTTCATCACTGAACAACCGTCTTCATCGACACCATGGTCGCCATCACCATCGCCCCTCACAG